AACCTAAAACTTTTTTATTTAAAAAAAAAACTAAGGTATGTGCTTTAGACTACACGACAGAAGTGAAAATATTAACAAGGCGAAATGAATAATATAAAATATAAATTATAAATAATAACTCATTATAAAGAAGGTGAAATGCCGAATATTTCTTTCGTGAACAATATAAAAGTCCGATTTTCAGTTTGTGACACATTTTAATTCATATCATCAAGAAAACTCATTATAATTTGGTTTTCGACGCCATTTTTTTTCTCTTTTCGCCTTTGTAACATGGCGTCGCGTTAAGATACAATTTCGAATAATAGCCCATTACAGAGAGGATGAAATGCTGAACAATTCCCTCGCTTATAGTATGCAAGTCCGATTTTTATTTTCAGAGATATATTAATCCATATCTTTAATAAAACTAGTTATAATTTGCTTTTCGACGCTATTTTTCTCTTTTCGCCTTTATAACATGGCGTCGCGTTTATTAAAATCTCTTAACAACTTAATTGTAGATAGACAAGAGGTAGATATCCAAAAGATGACCTATACACGTTTACGCTTGTTTTGGTAGAAATATAAAAATATTAAAAATTACGTAATTCTAAGAAAAAAAACACTTTCTTCAGTTTTTCATCATTAAATCGCTTTCAGAGTATTATAGGCAATAGTATGTCTTTTCGTCATGTTATTTGTGTATGGACATGATTTTAAATACTCGAATAATTTCGGCATTCTTATGCATTATACTTACAGTGTGCTCTAAATGATTTTGAAATATCAACCAGCTTGGTGTGTCGATTCAGAACCTTGTATTTTCTGTATAGTTTTGTTATTTTTCTTTAAAGTATTAAAATTTAGGATCTACCTTCTTCGTAGCTTAAATAAGATGTTCACACAAAATGTTTAAAAATAATGTCGCAACAAAATGTGTTCTTGATCATTAATTTGTATGCTATATCTTTATATTGCTATCACTTAGTTACATTTTGTTTTAAATTTAGTTAAAGCTTTGTTTTCCCTAAATGTATAGGAACTTTACTATCAATTTACTTCAATTATTTTGCTTCTTATTAAGCCTTGTCTAATTTAAAAAAAAATAAATTTCTGTCTTTCTTTTTTAGGATGCTATAAAAAGCCATTTTCTCTCTTGTCGTAACTTAATTTAAAATTCTTGAAATGTAATTCGTTATAAAAACACAATATTAGCACTAAAAAAAAAATAACCTTGACATCTCTGCATGACAGTGTTGCCATACCCTCAGGTTACTTTATAAAAACATATTATAATTTATTTTGAATATTAATTAATTTTCAAGTTCGAACTATTTAATTTTTATTTACTAAATGCCTCGCTGCAGACCTAGGTAAATATAATTATCATACTAATTTTCGGGAAGAGTATGTTTTATATCTTCATACGGTTGATGTTATCACTTACTTCGATTATTTAGTGTTAAGATACATTTATCGATATCAAACAGCGGCATGTTTACAATTGTTTATTGTTGCTATTGTTTATTTTGCTATTAACAATAGATTATGTTAATAAAACATTCAATTTCAACTGTAAATAGTTTTTTGTTGAGTTTTAAGGTGTGTTGCGACAAACAAATATACAAATGGTTACTTCAATATGTTAGCTATTTTCTATATATTATAAACATTCACTTGGTTTTTATGTTTTCCATTTGCTGTCGGTATTAAGAGAATTAAAATAAATAGTTTGGTTTAGCAATAATGTCGCTGTTAGTTAAGTTAACTAATTCTGTTTACAGTATTTGGTAAAATATCTAAACGTAAAACTATCTTTGTGGAATTGTAGTCGTAATTTTCTAGTCTGATAAAGACAGATTAAATAAAACTTACTTGTTAAATACACCTTCAGATAAATGAAATAATCTTGGGAGATTATCTTTTGAACAAACAGTGGTTAAAATTTAAATAGTTATTAATAATGGTGACTTAACCTAAGCACAAGATAACCGTTTCTCAGCGCTATCTAAGTTATCATTTAAATTTAATGGCGGACCCACGGAATGGAAAACGGTGGCAATGTTTTCTCTAAAAATAATCATCGAAAAAAAAAAAGGATCGTTGTTTAAAATATACCTACTAGTATCACTATTTGTTAGTAAATGAATAAATTATTAGTTATTAAGTAAGGAAAACTTAAAAATTTTATTCACCTTGTGATTTGTCGATTTGAGAGTAATCGATCAATCGTCTCTAAATTATTGAAATATATTAATTACATTGTCTATGCCTATGCAAATCGATTCAAGATTTGAAATAGTTTGATAATCAATGTATTACTATTTCTATTCTAGTTATATTACTTCTTCCCTAAACATATTAATATTTCTATAATAAAAAATAAATAGCAAAATTGAACTTCTTACTAGAATATTTACACTGATGCCTTCTAGAGAAAAAAAAATTTCTCTTACAATAAGCCAAATGAAAACGTAAAAAATGTAGCATTAAAAATTTATGGAGGACGCCTATGTTGCTATGAGAGATTTATTTTGTTTTGCCTCACCAAAAAAAAAATTAAGTTCTTGATTCACTGCGGGAAGTGAAATGAATCGATTTTTTTAATGTTGCACCCATTGACCTTTGTACCGCCTATAACATGTGTTATTTTATTGAAAAGATCAATAATATCAAAATAACCTGGTCAAAAGGTGAGAGTTTCTCGTTTTTACCATTATTTAATTATTATTTAGTCCGTGCGAATAATACAAATGGCAATATATTGTGGATTACATTTTATGGAATACAACACTTTTTTTTTTATTTAATGTTGGCAAAAGTTCATTTCGATAAGTAGGTTCACAGTTTTGTTTATTGCAAGGTGTCACTAAATATATTTTTGATGGAGATGAAATACATTTTTGTGAATTTCAACCTTATTTGTCAATGCGAAACGTCAGTAAGTGCCTCAAAATGACAACCATTTTGTCATAATAATAATACAATAGTATTAACCATTTTATGTATCAAAAATATTTACACTAAGTGCACACTAATATGATTTCATAGAGAGGAGATTTTTCAAAGTGCTCAGTGAATTCAATGTTAACTAATGATTTTTGTACAAAAAACTTTTTATACCAAAAGATGTGAACTTGCCATGAGCTGACATAACCTAACCTTGCATTAACTCTCTGTTAAATTTTCAGTTAACTCAGGTGATTTGAACTTAGCCGCCATCTTAGCGATTCGTAATTAATATCAAGAGAATATTATCAATTGATATCAAAGAACCAGTTCCTTTTAGTAGCGCTTTTGTTTAGGTTAGGTTAATTTATATTCTAATTTTTTTTATACGTCAATATGGAAAAATACCATGATATGTGCTTAAGACCACATGATAGAAGTGAAAAAAACAACAACAAGGCGAGATTAATAATATGAAATATAAAGGGGACCCTACACGGTAATTCATGAATGAACGTCACAAGAAGTTCCAAGATTGCCCGCTATCGCTTTGATCATGAAGACCCTTACACGTTCAATCATTACTGATCATTACTTATGTGAAGTTTCCACTTTTTTTTCTCTCCAATTTATTGTCTACTTGACTTTTTAAAGAAAAAATAGTTGAAAATGGTTAATAATAACATAGACTTATAGTTAATAATAACAACTATTTACTTTTATGAAATTATTTACTTAATAACGAGACTTAGGTAAACTAACCTATCTAGTAATAAGGTTAGTCTCATAGAAAACCTAACCTAACCTATCACTTCTCGTGAATGAACCTTTGATTTCCGGATGTTCGGAAATCCGCAGCGCACCACCATCAGTACTTCATTCACTACCTTACACGACAATTCGGAACGTCATTAGTGCAATTCCGATTGACCGTGTAGGGTCCCCTTAAATTATAAACAATAGCTCATTATAAAGAAGATGAAATGCTTACACCATTTTTTTTTCTTTTCGCCTCTCTAACACGGCTTTGCGTTAAGATACAATTTTAAATAATAGCCCATTACAGAGAGGATGAAATGCTGAACTATTCCCTCGTTTACAGTATACAGGTCCGATTTTTAGTTTCTGAGATATTTTAATCCATAACTTCAATAAAACTGGTTATCATTTGGTTTACTACGCTATTTTTTCTCTTTTCGCCTCTCTGACATGGCGTCGCGTCAAGATGAAATTTTGAATAATAGCTCATTACAAACAATATGAAATAATGAACATTTTCCTCGCTAAAAGTATGCATGCCCGATTTTTAGTTTTTGAGATATCTTAATCCATATGTAAAAACATTTCAATTAGTCGACTCCATACGACTTTACTCCAGCGTTAAATAACGGAAATCTGACGGTTCATTCTAATTCACTCTCCTCAAAAAAAGTGTCTAGAGAAGTTTTCATTAAAAAAATTACGCCCTTTTTAAATGCTTATACACAATCAAATTTTGAATCTAGGAGCAGTGAGCTCTTGGCGATCTTGTAACTTGTTACCATATCGAAAATTATAATAATCGATTAGTGGCGTCACCGAGCGTTGGGATTATAAGTACGCAATTTTCATATGTTTATAAAATAAAAATTTATTTAAGTTAATAAAATGAAAAAGAAAAAAAACGTAGCGATAATGACAAAAATAATAGTATTGGTTTAGTTAGTGTTAAAAAAACATATATGAATCAAAATTTTCAGTTGAAGTAATGTTTTCTTTAAAATTTTAAAAACGGCTCGTATATTGGGTAATGTGGCAGTGATGAGCTGCATGTTCAGCGTCGTGTGCCGCTTCGTCGGGTTGTCGAGGGGAGGGGGGAGCCTCGGCTGCAACGACGACTGGAATGATGATGGTGATGACGATTGCTGCTACTGCCCACCGCCGGAGTGTTGTGATGATAGGCCAGTATCTTATACAATACAATCGTCCAAAGGCTTCCTAAATACCTTTGATCTTCTCCTAGGATAACTTATATTTAAATGGCACTGTCATAGATCCAATAATAATTTCAATCTTCTTGTATGTTTTAGCCACCGAACTAAAATGGTTGACGCAGCTGTACTGGAAAAGCTCGAAGCTGGATTCAAGAAGCTCGAATCTTCCGATTCCAAGTCCCTGCTGAAGAAGTACCTCACCAGGGATGTGTTCGACAAGCTGAAGAACTTGAAGACCCCAACTTTTGGCTCAACCCTCCTCGACTGCATCCAGTCAGGTTTGTATATACTATAATTAATTTATTTGTTTGTTAAATGATAAGTTAAAACTTCACCTTTACCAATACTATTCATGAAGGGCTCAGTAGTTGGCAAGGAATTTCTGGTGTTTGTTCAGAAGGCATAGTTGTGGATTTAAAAAAATTATTGGGGGACCGAACTATAAGATCACAGCGTAGGATGAGCCTGGGAGAGTAGTGATATTGTTTGGGATATATCCTAATCGACAATATGCAATGTAAACAAATAATATATATCTCTATATGAATAACCATATGTCTATATGAAAAATTACCATCTCAAGCAGGTATCGTCACACCAAATACTTCAAACTAAAACAGTACAGCATTTTAATAGATGATTCCTTTTATAATTGTGGGTAAATGGTTGACTGTCGTGAATAATGAAGAGAAGAATAATTGGGGTGATCAGTCAGAAATAAGAAGGCAAAAATAAATTATAATATTTATTTTGACATTTGTCGACGCTTCAAGGAGCCTCAGAGATACATAAATAAAAATACAGAGTAATTGAACAGTCTTAGTGAAAACAAATAATATATATATATACACGCATATACATAGTATCTTTCCAATTTTGATCAGTTGATAATACAAAAAATAAAAAAATAGATAAAAAAAATGGAATACAAATAATGAAGAACGAACTAATATTTTATGTACATATTTACATTAGTATCTATACACGATTTTATGGGGACTGGATGGATAAGAAATGATTGAACAGGCGGGATTTAAAGGTAGGAAGGGTATTGGATTGACGGATGTGGGATGGGATGGAGTTCCATAGGGATGAGGATCGGATAAAGAAATATTTGTCGAAAGCAGCGGTTCGGTGGGCCCTTATGTATAAATCAGAAGACTGGGAACAAGTATTGCGGGAACGAACAGAGGATTTGAATTGAAGGAGCTCGGAGATATATGAACGGCGGTGGAATTGGATGACTTGAAAGAGGAAGGATGCCAGGAAATACTCACGACGGTAGGAAGGATAAAGCCACTTTAACTCATAAAAATGAGAAACAGAGGCGTCCCTTGGTATTCCGAAGATGAATCGTACAAAGAAATTTGTCAAACGTTTTAGTTTCGCCTCGAGATCCCCAGAGAGGCCCCAAGGGCTAAGAAAAGAACCAGATAACAAGGTATAAGAAACATGAGTAATGTAGGTAAAAAAATTAAAGTAGAATGAAGTTGGTAGATTAATGACAATATTAAGAACTAAGAGATAAATAATAATAACCGTCACAAAGTGTGGAATGATGAAGTAAACATAATCAAAAAAGGTGACATAAGTATTAAAATGGAAATAATAGAATAAAATGTAAACCAGAAAAAAAGAATATGAAGTTATATAACAAATGAAAATAAATAGTAAAATTAAGATATTGCAATTAGAATAGTTAGATATAAAATTGAGATATTGTAAAGTCAATCGAAATGCACTGACAACGTATAATATAATAAAGAGTTAAAACAGAGAAAAGGAATGAAAGGAAGGAGGAAAAAATTCCTTTTTTATAAAAATCCCTTCCTTAAAAGATTCCTTTTATAGTTTAGGTGAGTTAATAAATCCAAAATAGGACACCGTTAAACAAATTCTACTATACCTGCTAGTAGATAGATATAGTCCTTTGTAATTGAATTGTAATAAACGCAATCGATATGTTGATGAAGTTCATACTGCAGCAATTTGTCGAGGGAGAGAGAGGGGGGTCTGAACCCTCACTAAGGAGGGAGAGGGAGGCTCAAGCCCCGCGAGTCTATGTCAGAAGAGATTGTTAAAATTGGATGTGGTCAGCATGCAGGACTAGTTATCAACTTTATGTATTACTAGGAGCTTCTCCTTAACCCGCAGTCCATTCAAGGTTGGCATTTCAAAATAAATTATCTGCCAAAGAACTCTACCCAGAGCCCAAGAATATAGTGTCGTAGTAAATTCTGTGGTAAGCTCCCGAAACGCTGTTAACGCTCCGTCTTGTTTTGTAGAATTATGCTTTTCCGATTAATGCGTCAGTGTGATCTACCTGGATTTAGTATTGCCCAAAATCGTTCTTGGTCTTCCACTTTGCAAGAACAAGACCTACACCTCCTATTTGTTGCAAGACCAATACCTGTATAGCACGAGCGGATCTACGGGGAGAAAGAAAGAAGGGAAAGGGGAGGGCTTTCGGGCTGAAGCCCCTCTTCCACCGTAATTAAATCCTGGATCCGCTAGTGCTATATAGCAGAAATAAATACTCAGTTTCTTATTGGCTACCATTTTTTTTTTCTTTTGGTTTATTATTTTCAATAATGAACCATTGTAATAGACCAAAAAATTAAAAAAATTAACATCCACTCAAAATTTGAGGTTTTATATTTTACATGATACATAGAACCCGAAAATTGAATAAAAAACATTGTCTGCCTGCCAATTTTCTCCGAGATTACTTGGCCGATTTTTTTGAGATTAATAAAAGTCAGTAATCTTTGGAGGATAATCCTCCTACTTGGGCATTACCATTAGCTTTTTCCTTTCAAAATGGCGGCCGAAATACCTTGCTGTATACTGTTGTGCCTAAACGGATGTGACAATTTTAATGAAACTTGGCTGAAGTATTCTCCTTGAAGCCTTATAAATTTATATATATTTTTATACTTCTCTGAAAAAAAGGTGGAAAAAAGTTAAGAAGGATACAAAAATTATATGTCAGCTAATTTCAATTGACCTCAATATTGTTTTATAAATAAGTAGCTTTGTGTAGTAAGTGACAGGTTCCAAAACTGCTATGTTTTCTGTAATGCAAGAGCTCATTTACACCTCGATATTTATGGGAGTCAGATTTCTTTAGTTGCTTTACTATTTTTCTATTTATTACTTCAATGTTTACAGCCTTTTTGTATATTAATTATGATAAATTTCTCTAACTTATTATTATTATTATTGCTAGGTATTGAAAACTTGGACTCTGGCGTTGGTATCTATGCACCAGATGCTGAAGCTTACTCCGTGTTCTCCGAACTGTTTGACCCAATCATTGAGGACTACCACAAGGGGTTCAAGAAGTCTGACTCCCATCCTCCCAAGGAATGGGGTGATGTCGAGACCTTTGGAAACCTCGACCCTACTGTAAGTATTGTTTTCTTGTCATTTCTGTTTGTGCTTTTATTTTATTTTATTTCTTGTTCAGCATTGATGCTGATATATAATTCTTTGCACGCAGGGTGAGTTCATCATCTCTACAAGAGTCCGGTGCGGAAGGTCGATGGAAGGCTACCCCTTCAACCCCTGCCTTACCGAGGGCCAGTACAAGGAGATGGAGGACAAAGTATCCTCCACCCTGACCTGCCTCACCGACGAGCTCAAGGGCACCTACTACCCCCTGACTGGTATGTCAAAGGAGACTCAGCAGAAGCTCATCGATGACCACTTCCTCTTCAAGGAGGGTGACAGGTTCCTTCAGGTGAGGTTCTTTTAAAATATTAAATTAATATAATAATGATAGTCGGGACACAGGTTTCCAAGGCAAGTTGAATCCATTGAATATTTAAGTGACTTGAAACCTTCAGCGCTGGTAACATTCCCTGATTATTGGCTTGGATTGAATGTTGGCAATAAAAATCTTCAAAATTGACTGCGTCCTGACTAATTTCCTTCAATAACATAATAATAGTAAAAAAGTCAAGAAAGTGTGAAATTCGAAACTAATAAAAATAGTAGGCTCTGTGCCAGCACATTTGAGTCTATTCAGTACAAAACTGGAGTGTGCGGAGCGCTGGCTAGTACAGAATACCTCAAGAGACATGACGATGTTACAAAAATTTATCATCAGGCAATTGGTCTAAATAGAAAATTAGTGAATGATTTAAAACATTATTACAAGTACAACCCTAAAGAATTTATCCAGAAGGAAGGAATGAAATTGGTATTGGAATCAATCTTTTATAACAGACCTGATATCGTGTTGATCGACAGTAATATGGAGACAGCTGATATAAAATAGATATCGCTGTACCAAATGATGGGAACACCAACTCAGCCTGCGCCGAAAAAATTCGAAAATATCAAACTCTTGCAGCCGAGTCAAAAGATCTGTATAGACTGAACAAAGTGAAAGTAAGGGCTTTATTGATCTCTTGCAATGGGCTGGTTCCAAAATCCACTGTAGAAGCTACCGAGAAGTTGGGCCTATCAACAGCTACGATAAATGAAGCCGAGAAAGCTGTGCAGCTGAACAATGCAAGAATCGTAAGCAGCTTCCTAAATATCCGATAGAATTAAAAAATTAACTTGAAGTGGTTGAAGTTAATTCTTCTCCACTCCATAAAAATACCTTTTTTTAAAGTGATAAAGAATAAAGGATAAATAATAATAAAAGGCTTAGCGTACTCTGAGTTTCAAAGCCGATTACACCAATCACTATATTAAATACTTCTCTCCACTGACAGAAGTCCAAACCAAACCTCACCAGATCAGCATCCATGCAATCTTCCTACCTTTGCTTCGGACTACCCCTTGGATGTTTACTAGTTGGCACAGCAAATATCAACCTTAAGGAATTCTTTCAAAACTAAACGCTTCAATTTTACTGTAATAATCACTATTATATTAATTGGATACAGTTCACGTTATTTGCATTGTGGAACTGTCTAAATTCTCTGTTTGACTTTGAATATTCTACAAAACCAATCATTACGGTTCCTAAACATTTACATGTTTTTTTTTTTTAATGTCTTTATACTTGCCTCTTATATTATTTTTAATTCTATTTCTGTTATTTTATTTTTAAGATAAAGATGTATTTTGCAGACACATCTAGATAAATAAAATTCAAACAACACAATCCAAAATTATTCAAATAGCACCATACACAACGACATAGACATACCAACAGTTAAGGAGACATGACAGAGTGTAGCCCGTTTTAACATTCTCGAGTCTAGCAATGCCGGTTCAAATCCAGCCTGGGTTTTTTGTTATTTATTTTGTGAATGACCGATGAAATGAATCTCGAACCTTCCCCTTCTGGTTAGACAATAGGTTTGTAACTCAACCCCACAACCCCCGCCCCTCTCCTCCCTATATAACTCCTCCCCAGAAATAAACATACAAGTAATTCATGGAGGGTAATAAAATCGTACATACATGACTACATATTTCACTCTTAATCCTTCTAATCCTTCTGTATTTTTCTTCTTCCCTATTACCTGATCAACCTGCATGACTACTAAAAAGGAAATGGCACAGAGATCTCCTGTACACAATTTAAAGAACAATAAAGCGTTATCAAGAATAACAAAAACAAAATAAACAACAAAATATCTGCATGATATTTTGCAATGTAGATGCAAATGTACTGTAAAATAAATAAATAATAACATCCATAACATCCATTGCTATTGTGGGCTATATTATTATTTGGTATAGTACAGTATAGTATTAAAATACAATTTTTGTTATTTAGGCCGCTAACGCCTGCAGATTCTGGCCGACCGGGCGTGGTATCTACCACAACGACAACAAGACCTTCTTAGTCTGGTGCAATGAGGAGGATCACCTTCGACTCATCTCCATGCAAATGGGTGGTGATCTTGGACAGGTATGAACATTTTCCTTTTATTGATCATTTATTTTATGTTCTATAAGCATTGGGTGCGGGGTGGCCGAATAGGCTAAAGCGTGTGTAACAGCACCGCTAGTTGCCTGGCAACCGGATAACAGAGATTTGAGATGATATAAAAAGTACGAGTTCGCGTCCCGGTGCCGGAGGGGATTTTAAATTCCCCGCCCTCACCCCCCGGCCCGGGAAAATCCCGTATAGCCTAAAAGGCAAGGTAGGGAAGAACAAAAAAAAAAAAAAAAAAAGTTTCTATAAGCATTCATGGCTAAGAATTTATCCAAGAACAATGCCTTGAATCGGTGTATGTACAACACCTGGTCGATCTCACCATGAAACCGTGTTATTTTCATATCCGAGGTTTTAAAAGAGACAAAAAATATATATTGAGAAATGATTTTTTTTTTAATTGTAAGAGATATGCTATCATATACAAACAACTAATAATTAATTGCTATGCCCACTATAATGAAAGAAAAATTAAAATAACCCTAAATCAAGAGTTGCTCTTAACCCATCATAATTACATATTAATTTAATATGTACCTTAAAATGAATCACTAAAAAACAATCAAAATTAAAAAGAATAAAATATATATATATATAAAGCTCCAAACCGCATCATACATAGAAATTGTCCTTAGAGTATTTTCCAGTATGGCTGTCGATATATTGGGTTGGCAAATAAGTCCTTTTGTTGATACACTTCTTATCTGATGAATTAATCCCTAAGATGGATTGTTTATCCTGTTTGTAATATGTCAAAAATTATATCTGTTAAAAAGAAAAAAATTATTCTACATCTATTTAACTCTTGTTAAATCTAGTTCAATATTGTGTTTGCTATTGCACTGTGAATATGGAAGAAAATATCATTCAATATCGGCATATTTTGTCGTATTATTTTTAAAAAGATAAGCGTGCTACAGAAGCTCATGTGTCGCACACAAGCGTAGAAAACCATTTGCACAAGCTCGCTTATGTTTCCAGGCTTAATGTTTGGGTTCCTCATTCTCTAACTGAAGTCAACTTGGCAACACGCATTTCTGTTTGTGATTCACTACGGAAACGGCAACAGAACGGCCCATTTTTGAAAAAGTTGGTAACGGGAGATGAAAAATGGATATTTTACGATAGTCCGTAGAAAATCTTGGGGACCTAGTAGTGAGACTTCTAGAAGAATGTCAAAACCGGGATTGCATCCAAAGAAGATAATACTTTCCATATAGTGGGATTTCAAGGGTGTTATTTTCTATGAGCTATTGCCATCAGGACAAACAATTAATTCAACTCTATACTGCTTACAATTCACGAAATTGGATCAATCAATGAAAAATAAACACCCAGAACTGGCAAATTGGAAGGATGTTGTGCTCCACCAAGATTATGCTAGGCCCCACACCTCATTGGTCACTCGCAATAAATTATTGAGTCTTGGATGGGACCTTTTGCTACACCCTCCCTGTTTACCAGACCTAGCTCCAAGTGTCTACCACTTATTCCAGTATCTGCCGATCTTCATGAACGAAAAGAAATTCCAAAAGGAAGAGGACATAAAAAACCGTTTGGATCAGTTTTATTGGAACATTGCATTATGCAGTTAATGGGAAGAGAGGAAAAAGTTATATTAAATAATGGTCAATATACTGTAGATTAAAATAAATTTTATATCTATAATACATTGAGTTTTATTTCACCCTGAAAAACTGAAAGGACTTATTTGCTAACTCAATATATATATTTTTTTTTTTAATTTTCAATAACAATTTTTATTTCAATCAAATTTTAGAAAATCAGTAAGATTATATTGAACATGTTTTTATCAGACTTCAAATATATTATTATAAGAAATCATAAGTATTTTTAACTTTATTTATTGTTATTTTTCATAGGTTTACAGACGCCTGGTCTCTGCTGTAAATGAAATCGAGAAGAAGGTCCCCTTCTCTCATCACGATAGATTAGGTTTCCTCACCTTCTGCCCGACCAACCTCGGTACCACCGTCAGGGCCTCTGTACACATCAAAGTTCCTAAGCTCGCTGCCAACAAGGAAAAGCTTGAAGAAGTCGCAGCTCGCTATAACCTCCAAGTAAGTGGAAAATTTTCTCGGATTTCATCTATTTAAGTTTATAAATTATTTATAATTATGAATAAACCTAAAGGATCGAATATGTTTATCTATTATTAGAAATAATATCAAAGTCCTAATCAGCTATATTAAAATATGTGTGTATCAGGGATCGAAAGAGTCATGAACTTTTTTAAAGACATGAACTTTTGATTTTAAAAGTATTTAGCAAACTTATTAAGAAAATGTTTGCACTATAAGACTTATTCTTATACTTTTATACTTTTTTATATCCCTTTTATGATAAAATTTGTTCTTCAAAAAGTTCAAGGTTCACTCTAACTTTTTGAACAACTATAATTTAAGTGTGAGTTAACTGTTTTGCTTTTGGTTGGGATTTAAAAAAAATTTTTTGTTTGTTTTATTAATAGGTCTATTAACTAGTTTAAAAATTTGTTATAATAGGAAATGAGTGAGTGAATGTTTACACGTACTGGTGTTTATTTTAATGATAGGATTATTCATAAGATATTGTTCCTATCCAATCATTTCCTTCTTCTCAAACAAAAACAAGTCCAATCATTATCATGTCTTTTCAGAAAGCTTTTTTTCAGTATTGTAACTTTATAATGTTCGAAATAGAGATTGACACAAATGGGGAACTGTTTATTCTTTTTTTTTTCTTTCGCCTCTAGCTTGCCTATGAACTTAAAAAATGTTTTATTTATAATGTGACCAAATTTAATGTTAAAAAAAAAGTTATTTACAAATAAAATATTACTTTAAGTTTAATAATATCTATTTGATATGTTAAATAATAACATTTGATTTTGTTTTAAATAGGTCCGTGGTACTAGAGGAGAGCATACCGAAGCTGAGGGTGGTGTTTACGACATCTCCAACAAGAGGAGGATGGGCTTGACTGAGTTTCAGGCTGTGAAAGAAATGAATGACGGAATTGCTGAAATCATTAAGATTGAAAAGGAACTTTAACTGCCATTTATTGATAAAGTTCCCCTCGATGGCTATACACAAGGCAGGCACGTTCGATAAGGTGCAGCACCACATTTCATCCCCTACCCTCCCTTCTCACTTTGAAACTCACGAATAACTTATTCCCTGTTTAGTGTTGATAAGTTGATTCGTTTCAAAATAGTTGTATTTAAAAAATAAATAAATGTTATTTATTAGAAAACCTATATCGCCTCTGTATTCATGTTAATTATATTTATTAGTTGCCGCACTAGTCATAGGTAATGTTTAAAAAAAAAAAAAAAGCAGATGGTCTACTGTTAATGTAACTAGTGTCGTCTATGTTGTACATTTTGTGACAACATAGAATGTACAAATAAAAAAATAATTTTAATATAATTAATTATTATCATTACATAAATATATATATAATATATATATAAATGTGCTAAATATACAGCAACATATTTGCAATGCTTTTTCTTTTATCCTGTTATCCTTTCATCAAGAATGATCTCATGAAATAAATTCTATTGAAGTTATGATAATTATTAGGTGATTAAAAAAAATAAATAAATCAGAAACATAAAAAATTGGTGTAATAATATACTTGCATTTGACATAAAATACTATGAATTTATAAAATCATTAAACAAATGATGCAGAACTAAAAACAAGCATGCCTAAACATTAATATTATGAAATATAATTATTGAAGGTTTTTGAATCATACTAAAACATCTGGTAGGCGCAACACACAACTTTCACTTACCAAATAGAAATAATTGTCTGGTAATGTTGGGCTATTACAAAATTTTTGAAGTGCATTTTTAACCGAGCTAAAACTTAAAGCTTACAGCTAACAAATCATTAATATAACAAAAGCTCCTATTTATTATATCATTGGTTGATTATGAATTGTACGATCCGTTGATTACATTATGAATTGTACGACTATTAGTTATTAAACTGTCATTTTCCATTTCAAAGTTTACTAAAATGGAATTACGATATTTGCATTGTTTAGCTGAGTTAGAGCATTTTCTTATTAAAAATTTACTCTTTGTTTAACATTACAACTATATTTTGTGTAATGGTCATAGTTTCTAAATTTTCAGAGCTATTATGGATTTAATAATTATAAAAGTGAAAATCACAAAAATTTTAGCAGTTTCCTAATTTTTAGAATGAGGTAAGATAGGATTGTTATAATATTTGTATCCATTGTATTGTGTTAGTAAAACAATTTCTACTGTAAAACTACTCTGCAATCTTTATTCACTTTATTTGCCAATAAATTGTAAGGAGAAGGAATATAAATAAAAATTTATTGTTGTATAAATTATCAAGAAAACAATTGCACATCTTTTAAAACTTCATTTATTTATTTCTTCTTTGAAATAGAATACTTTTTTTGCTAGCACACTTTTTCATTTAAAGTAATTCTAATGGAACTTGTAATGGTTCAATGCTATTTTATACAGCAATAAGTTCATAAAAAGTCTTTTGGAAACAATAATAAGAAAAGGCAAACTATATTTTCACTATTTTTATTTATTTATATTTTTTTATGACCTCTACTCTGGACCATCTCTTTTCTAGAGATTTTTCTGTACAATACGCTCATTGAAAACGAATAGAATCTAATTTAATAAATCACATTGCTCTGTGAATATTTCATAAATCATATAACTCTATGAACTGTTATTTTTTAACAATTCTTAAGAACTGTTCAAATTAGACATGTTACTTAGCAAAAGTTGAGTAATTCAAATTTATTTTTTATATTATTAGGTATGTAGAGAATATAAAAAATTCAAGTTTCTGCCCTTGAAAGCCTTGTGGATTCACTACAGTGCTCCGAAAACCATTGAAATTTGAACTTTTTTTGGTTTACACTAAATATTTCCTTTTTGGAGCGACATAGATAATAACAATTGTATTCAATTTTAAACAGCTTAAAAATTATTTAACTTTTTTTACATAATATTTTTTTTTTAAATCCAACATGAAGCGAACTATCAAGCTTTCAAAATTTATCCATTTCGATTTCTTCACAATAGTGCTGTTTTAGTTTTGAATGAAAGAATTCTGTAACTGCGTTTTGAACCTTCCAGAGAATTTGGAGGTTTTCCTTGGAGATACTGAGCCATTGATTGCGAACTGTAGATGGTAGTCGGGAAATGTTTTAAATGAAAAGTATGTTACACAGTGAGCCAGAACCCCCTATTCTGCATCCTCCCACCTCCCAGTAAATTGCATACAGTTGTGTTTCTTGTAACTATTTATCAAAAGAAGCCAATATTGCCACAAAAAAAAGTGGACGCACTGTCCCAAAATGGTGTCCAAACAAGGCGGATTGACGTCTTTGACTTGAGTTAGTTTTTCGGTCACTGAAATTCATCATTTTGTTTAATTTCTTTATGATCGTACTTTTATTAAACCTAAATAGTTAGAGAATAATAAAACATGAACAAATATTAAAAAATAATAGTTCTTGGCAATAAAAAATACCAGTAAAGTTAATTTTTTTAAGTTGTTCAAACTAAAGTTGAAAATCAAGCGTCGTTTGTAAAAAAACAACCAGCAATAATGGGGAAAGCTCTGAAATAAAGCATCTGTAATGTACATTTATCTTTCTAAAACACTGATTACTTTTTAAAATATTTGAAGCAGTTAGATACAAACTACACTTAATCGGCAGAAAAGCAGTACTGGCATAGGCGCCTGTAGAGTTCTCTACCACATGATTCGGTATTCATAAATGGCATATTTATAGTGTTATAATAACATTCTTAGTACATTGTTTTGATTGTCTTAACAAACAAATATTAATACAATAATTTAATTGTCCTAAACAATTTTTTGTGAAAAAATCGTACAGTCTTCAGATGTTAACAATCCGTAGAAGCACAAAGGTATGTAATTTGGATAATAATAATTATTAAAAAATGTGTTAGAAAAACTTCATTCATTAGAAAAACAGTAATTTTAAATGACAAATTTCTTTAAAATAAGTGGAAAACAGAAAAAAAAGATATAAGTTTTATTTGAATTTTAAAACATAAATTTATTTTTTTAACAATTCGTTTTAAAGTTGTTACGTTTAGAGAAATAAGTTTCTTATCAAAGCTATATTAAATTGTGTATGATTTAAGATTTAATTTAAAAATTTGAGCTACGTCACCTATAAAAACCGATAATTTAAAACAAAAAATAATGCATGTTTTTTTGTGATTTTCAATACTTTACTCATTTTGAAAGCTCGATAGTTCACTTCCAATTGGGTTTAGAAAAAAACTTTATGTACAAAAATGTTAGATAATTTAAGCTGTTTAAGATTGAATATAACACCATTTTTTATTTAAGCTGCTTTAAAAAGGAGATATTTAGCGTAAACCAACAAAGTTTAAAAGAAAAACTTAATAAATTAAGGATTACGATAAAGTAAGAGACAGAAATATAAATAATAATGGAGATACGCCTTGTTTTATTTTATTTATTGCTTAATTTATCTTTATTTTATTTTTATTATATTGCTTTTTATTTCAAAGAAAAATAAGAGAAAAAAAAACAGTCTGAAGTTCAAATTTTATATTTTTAATAGTACATTTGGGTTGTAATGTATAGAAATTTTATACAAGTTTATTTAGTACATATTTTGCAAAATAACAAACAGAACATAAAACAAATAAAAATAACCACTTATATTACACTCAATTATAATATATATTTACTACATAAAGAATACAACTACCATACATAATTTAAATTTTTATCCAAGTAATTATACATTGATTGATCTTAAAAAAAAGACTTGTTTGTCATTTACAATATTTCTGCTTATAATAAAATGTTTCTTTTATTCATCCAACATACACAATCCATCTGAGAGATCTAGAACAATAAGAAAATTGATTTTTCCAACTATGATGAATATTCTACTTAAAAATTTCTAATAAGGAAAAAAAATCTTAAAAATAAAGATAACTGTGGATAACTAACTTTCTGGTAATAATTGGAAATGAACAATGCAAAATTGAAATAAATAGCCAAAAAGCATACAAAAATTTATTGAATAAACATCTTATTTATTTATGATTACTTTATATGTGTTCGTTACCAATCCCATAAAAATTATATGATATGTAAACATAATGCAAATAAGCATTAGAAATTATGTAAAAACAGGAGTAAACTTGGTTAAATATCTCAAATGATTGTATGCGCTGGTGTTACATCTCAGCTTGCTTATAGAATACAATAGAAGAATCAACTTTATTTTGGGACAAAGCCCCTTAAGAATAACAATATAGATCCTAAAAATTAACATAACACCTGGCCAAAACACATATTACAATAAAAGAATAACTAAAACATAAGTAATAAGAGAAGTATTTACATAGCTATACAGATAGATTAAAGAAAGATGAGCAATAAGGTCGCAATATTGCAAAATAGTTGCTACAAACAACAAAGTATGAAATAACTAATTGAACTTGAAAAAAGACAATAAATTATTTTTGTTGTCAAACCATTGTAGTAATGAAAAAATAATAATAAAAAAGTAGATAAATATATATATAATAATATATAAAGGTTTTTTATATACAATTTTTTTTTTTGGAATACACTTTGGATTATGATTGTATCACTGTTATTTAATATGACTTATTTCATGTAAATAATAAAAATTTATCGGTAATAGACATTTTAAGAGAAATTTTCAACATTAATTTGAACCACAACTTTAGTTCTGAAGGTGGATCTTTGCAAATGCATTTAATTGACAGCAAAATTAGTCATTAATAACATTTTTTATATACAGTCAATTGGTTAATTATTCATGAAATACTTAAAGAATTCTGACAGCGTATTTTGTACTAGTAATAGATTTTCAGGTTTTGGGGGTAAATAGGAGTTTATATAATTAAAAAACCTAAAATAAATTCTCTACAAAGTGAAACTAAGAAATATCAAACCACATAATAATGAATAAAAGTTTCAAATTTATCTCCTAAAGAATAGTAATAAGGAATCCTCCTTGAAACAAATCTCTGCCTTATATTATTAAGGAATCAACTAGCAATCGACATATTATGTAATGGTTTCAGTTGAGGTTCTACATCACCCTCCTAAGTGTTCTGGTTCCAAATATAACTCATATTTGCACTCTTTTTTTGATATTTAAAGCTTCTATATAAAGTCTATGAGTTGAATATTGTCTATTACTGGTACGTTTACCTTAAATCATAAATAATAATAGTGTGGAGATGTTTTTCTGTGATTATAATTTGAGGAGTTGATCAGGGAAGCAGTCAAATTAAATAATATTACATAGGCATATCCAGTAAAATGCTATTATGATATATAGTATTTAATTTGACCACACCCCCGTCCACCTCCTCAAATAAATAATAATAGATGATTTGGCAATCTTCAGTTATAATTATATTTATTATATACAAAATA